TGTGCGCCTAAAAGTCTAAACTTTAATGGTAAAATAACAGTAGCAATAATAACAACAACAACAACGATAACAATGATAACAACAACAGCGAAAACTTAAACTGTTTTACTCGTACTGCTTTACCATTGCGCTGTACTGCGCTCTGTACTGCTATTGTGTGGTGAATACTTGCGATTTTTCATGCAGTCACTGACCCAATTTCAATTGCCATGTACCAGAAAATTAAAATTTTTATATAAGAAAAAAAAAACACACACACACACAAACATACTTAAAACATTTATATATGTATGTGAAGTGTGATGTGTATGTAGTACAATGGCATAGGCAAGTATATTAACTTATTTAAAAAACATTAAACAGCAAATAAAACAATTCAAAACTTAACGTACACTGAGTAATGCTCGGCAGCAATTGATGCCATTTGTGCGAGCGGGTAAGAGAGTGTCAATAATTTAAGGTTAACTTTTGAGGCTACTGTAAACGTTAACGGCATTTACACACAAAGCAAGACTTTTGAAGGAAGGTTACAAAAATTATGCTACGTTATTGAAGTGAATGAAGTTCATGGAGAGTATGTAACCTTTTTATGAGTGAGTTTCATTTAATTGAATTATCTGTATAATTGGTCTCTGAAGGGTGTGGAGATTAAAAGAATTGCTTATGTATATTTTTAGCGTGAAATTATATACTACAATAGGTTAAAGATAATATATATTTTACCATGGTTTTAAGAAGTAAATAAATACAGCATATTAAGGCATATTAAAGCATATATGCTTATAAGCTTATAATAATTAAAATCTAAAATAATAAATATAGTTGCATTGAATTAAATCAAGTCAATATTGTATATATAAAGCAATAACCTTTAAATTTAATTTTGGTATCCAGTAGCGTAAACAGAGAACTGAATTGGGAAAATATATATAATAATAACAGTTCAACCTGTAAATACAATAACTGCTATCAATCTTACAACTAGAATGTTGATGGAGGCACACAGAGATATGCTCTATTTATCCTGAAAACTCCTTAAAATCCAAAGTTAAAGGATATGTTCTTTTAAAGAATTGCAGAAATGCTGTCGAAAATTTTATTAATTTGAAAAAATTAAATAGTTGAAAAAATATATTTAAAAATAAATAAATATATGGTGGGACGTTGGAACAGCGCACTGTCCAACAAGTGGCCCCACTGAAGTGAAGGATTAGTCGAAGTAGACTACGAAACTACTTGGGTCCTTTTTCGACCTTTGATTCTCGGATGTTGTTATTGAGTTAAAGCTGGGGTGGCTTCCGTTCGCATAACTACATCTTTTGTTAATGCAAGCAGCTCATTTAGCTTGAGGTTTCCTGCCAAGTCATCACCAACCCAATGATGTCCCAAGACAGTCTTCCTCCTACTTGCTAGTGAAAATGAAAATAGTAAATATATATAGTAACACCTGTTCAACCTTCAAATACAATTATTGCTATCATACCCATAACTAGAGTATTGATGGAGGTACACAAATATATGCTCTATTTATCATGAAATCTCTTTAAAATTCTTATGCATAGAAAATTAAAAATTAAGGCAAAATACAATAACCAATATGAAATATGAAATTTATTTAAATATGACCACCTTACTATTTTATGTTGAAAATAGAGGATTTAGAAATAAATGAATATGAGCACACCCATGTCAAATTACTTCAAAATATTGAAGGAGGAAAATCATATTCACATAATCACATATTTTTAACTAAAGAAAATCTCTTGAAATTGAACACCGAAGACTGTTTTACTTATTGAATAAAGGATCTTTAGTATTCTTAAGAAATAAGTTTCTTTTATACAAAAATGTGTTTAAACCAGTATGGACCTGTACCATTCAACTATGGAGCACAGCATCAATACCTAACATCGAAATTCTTCAAAGATTTTAGGCTTAAACTTTACGAGAAATGGTATTTAATTAATATCCAAATCCATTGTGACATCAAAATAATATCGATGGAAGATGAAGTAGAAAAGGTAGAAAATATCATGAACAAATACAGCTTCTTCTCAACAATCTTGCTTTTACAACAATCTTGATTTTACATGGATTTTACAAGAATGTAAAGAAAAACGCTGTTCCAGATCTTATAGTAAAATCTTAATTTAAACAAATGAGTAGCTTTTCACAGGGAGAACTACCTAAATTGTAAATGATCATGCCTGAAGTATTTTTTATTTATCGAAAAATTGTAAAATATCAAACATGATTAAACGGAATGCATAACATATTAAAATAGATAGTTTGTAGATAGATCATAGATTAGCCATACAGTTGACTGCGAGATTCCTGTGACTGGATGCCTAAAGAAGATAAATGTAGAACTGCATCAACAGAGCTATATATTGGTGGACTTAACTTAAGAAGTTAAAAACAGCTTAACTATCTAAAACTATTAAAATATATTTCTATGCCCATTTCAATAATAGATCACTCTTTAGTATTATAAACTACTTCTACGAAATGTTCTTAAATTAAAATTTATAATAATTTTTTTCAAAATATTACGAAAGGAGATGAAGTTGGCAATATTTTATAAGGAGGAACTAAAAATGTTTAAGATGATGATAAAGGAGATATTAGCTTAGATCTATTTCCTTAGCGATAATTTCATTGCTTACTTTCTTGGACCCTTTTTAGTTAAGAGACCTCTCTTTGGGTAGGTATCTTTTGAAAGAAAATTTGTAATAAATTTTTTGTCAATAAAGACAATGAAGAAGATGTTAGCAATAGTTTCTGAGAAGGATTAAAAAAAAATTGGTGTAAAATTGTTATTACTGAGAATCATAGAGATATCAACTTACATCCAATTACTTAGACAAAACTTCACTGTTTGCGCTGTTGACCCCTTTTGTGATAAAGGACCTTTCGTTAAAGAGGTATCTTTTGAAGCAAAATTTATAATATATTTTCTGCCAATTCTGAGAATGAAGATGATGTTAGCAGTTATTTGTAAAGAGGAACTAAATATCTTGTAAGCTTCTCGGAAAATATTTTAATTATTAAAAATTTTAAATCTTTTTTTTGTTTGCTTTATATCAAAAGCGTCATTTGTAAGTGCATACAAGACACTCCAAGTTTTGAAGTGAATAACCTTAGCAAGAAAGTTTTCAAAATTCAAAAATTCACTTTTTATTTTATAGACAACAAAATGTAAATGCATTAATTTATAAACCAAAAACAAATTTTGAAAAAAAAATGAAATAAAAATTTTATATCTACATTTTTGTATAAAATAGCAAACGACATAAAGCGGTTAACATTTCGTTGAGCCGTTAAGAGCGGCAGTTTACTCCATAAGCGATGTGGCTCTAAAAGACGTGATTTGGTCAAAAAGAAAAAAATTAAAGAAAGTGAAATTTTCGATTGAAGGCAAAAAGGTTTTTGACTTCTTCAAAATGCTGCAAACCAAGTAAGCCCCGCTTGAGAGGAGGGGGCGAAGGGTATGTTGTGCTTCACATATTTTCATTTTCATATGAAGTGCGCTTCATTGAACGCATGCGCTATACGCTAAAAGTGGATTTGGAGCGGAACCAAAACAATTTTACTTTCTTTTGAAAAAATGTACAACTTTAGTCGAACATTTGAGTAGGCATAACCGTTTCACGAGTGGATCGTTGAAGTTTTGTGCCAGTAGGGAAAATTAAAAATTTTTTCTTTCTCAATTTCACGTCATACACTCACCAAAGACTTGCACATACAACTGCGCTAAGTCAACGAACTCTTCTCAAGCCCGCTTTCCGAAATGAAAGTGATTTTATTTTGCGACCCACTTTGTGCTTAATAAATGCAATTTAAATAGCTCAGAGTTTCTGGTAATTGTAAAAGAAGATACATGGATTACATGTCTCTACATTACATGGATTTGGAAAATCTCCAATTCAATTGATTTTAATTTAGTTTATTAACATTTTAGGAGACTTAAAAACATTTAATAACAACTAAAATGAATTTTAACTATTTGTGTTAATAGTAGAAATACATTTTTGACATTCTTTAAGCTTAAATACACGACTTAAAAATGTTTAAAAATTCATAAAAAATTTTCAGTTAATATTTTTATGAATTTTTAAACAAACCATTAAATTTTTAATAATCATATATATCATAATAACCAACTAAGCCAATATAGAAAAAAATGAATAATGTTTTTTATGTAGCTTTCATTTGAAGGGCGCAACGTCTTCTGTTACAGATTCAGATTGGATTAGAAACACAAAATATCAGCCATGGTCACAGCCATGGCTCTGCTCCACTAGGAGTCAGTATCTTGTAAGATTCTATTTTCTATTTTTTGGGTTCTATATTTTTAAGCCATGCCGTAACTGAATGACCTTTCTTCAAAAATGAGTTTATAAATATTTATTATAATGCAAGTATTTAAACCATATTTAAATCATTTTAAATATAATGAATATATTTAGTTATATTTCAAATTATGTTTAAATAAGAATAAATAACTAAACTTTGAACGTTTACTCTGTTTTTAGTGTATGCAAGAAATTATTTTAATTCCTTTTGGTTTTAATTGTAATTTGTAATAATTTAAAAAAAATAATGTTTATACATGCATACTATATAGTATATAATAAAATTTTAATTTTTAATACAAATAATTTATTTTAACATTTAATTTTAATTTCAATATTAAAAACAAATTTATAAATGCAAGAACGCGCCAGTCTTGGAGTAAATGTTAATGAGGAAGTTAACCATTCACTGGCCTTAAGTAATTAACTTCAACTTGCAATGGCGGTGTATGATTTAATTAACAATATTTTCGTTTTGTTTTCGACTTAAAGAAAAGACCTCAGTTACCATAAAAAGCAAAAAGGTCACCTTTTATTTCGTGTCTGTGTGGGTTGGTCCGGTCTGTTGCCTTAAAATATTTAAGTCATGATCAAAAGTGATGGACTACATTGAACAAGAAAACCACAATGTGAAGCACATATAAGAACTGCATTTGATTTCTACTTACATTAATGCAAATCTTTTTTTATAAAACTTCAAGAAAATTAGCGTTTAATATGAATCATACTCTCAATACTGAACCACTAAATCAAGAAATCATCATGGAAGAATAAAAAAATGTAGAATCATTTCGAAATATTTATTTAAATACTAATCAATAATAATTATTTAGAAGTTCATATATATATATATATATATATATATATATATTTATTCATTATATTTTAATTTATCTGTTTTCATCAAAAATTGAATATACCTATTGGATATATATCATTGTTTATGAATAGCCATAGAAACTTCTCTGGTCAGATGACATGTTACATCTCGATCACTAAACTCCATTGGAAATACCAAACTCAACTGGCAAATCGTGGGAATTTTCCCTGAAAAAGTATATACTCTGTAATTCTTACACACATAATATCGTTTGCACCCTTCGTGTGATGGAGAAAGATCTCACTTAAAGGTGCCGAAGTTTCACTCTTTAAACTCTAAAGCACTATAAAAGCAATTCAGAGCTGTCTGAAGTTAGAGCCATCTGCAGATTAAAGCGGCAGTTGTTTTGAAATCACCATATATGTAAATTCAAATTCGGAAAATTTACTAAAATTTGATTTTACTTGTAATCACTAGAAATATTACAGGTTGTTTACTGATGAGTTATCACATTAATTAGCAGAAAAGTAGCCTACTGATGCATCTTCTCATCTTCTCTGACAACAGCTTATATCGCCTTTGTTTAGATGGCGATGACACCATGGAACATATTTTATGCCCTTGTCCATATGTCTCGCCCACTACAGACACAAACTTAGAATTTTTCTAATGTAACGTTGTGAGTAGTTTAAATATCAACTTCTTTTAAGCATTATTCTCTTTCTTATATAAGGATGAAAATTTTTGTATAATATTAGAATAAAATTCACTACACAATAGACTTTCACTGTCTGAGTGTAGTGTGTTTTTCTAGCTGCTAGCTGCATCAAAAACCTAGCCGAAAAAAAAAATGAATACAAGAAAAATTTCACTTAAACGATAATAAACATAAGTGAAGTGTCAGCTAACAGCACCAAAAGCGAGCGACAAAAATTAGCTAAAGTGTCAACTATTATTACAAAAATTGAGTGAAACGTTACAACAAACATAGTACTGAAAACAACAAAATTGCTAGCTTACAGCACCAAAAATGGAAGGTATGATCCCGAAATGACGATAACTTTTATACTCATCAGATGAAGATATTGTATTTACAGTAAACGGATATTGCGATGACTTTAATGAAATGGATTATGAAAGGAATTCAAGATTTGAGAAAACTATATCGACTTCAGAAAAGCATCTCCCGAAAAATAAGCAACAAACTTCAGGAACAGCTCCATCAAATTTTATATCGTTTTCGATTGCCTTCGAGCTTGATTTTTAAATAAAAAAAAGTTTCGTATAAAAGTTTATTGACTTCAAACATGTCAAATTATTTCGGAAAATGTATCTCAAAGATACAAAAGCATATGTGTGCGTTGTCAGTTATTTTTCGATAGACGCATGCGCACCGTTTAAAAAAAATATATAAATGAAACTGAAAGCGGCAATGTGAATAGACAATAGAAGAAAGAGCGAAGAAAGACTGAAAGAAAAATAGAAAGACGTGCCACAAACGAAAGTGTTTCTTCTTCACAATTTCTTTTCTACTTTATTTGTCTTTTCTTTTCTGATTTTTTGTGATCTTTGTGCTATAATTTCAATTTCATTTGCTTTCGGTTTCACTTTTTACTGTTGTATTATCGCAATAAAGAAAACCTAAAAGAATGGGCCATATGCCAACAGCAAACGTAATTATTTTTGATAATTAAGTTAATAATCTTAATAATTTCAGATAAGAAATGTGAATAACTTTTAGAAAGTCAGTTATAATTACTTCAGAAAATGAGAGTTTATGCTGTATTTCTTTATACTTTGCGTTCTGTCTTAGACATCTGAACTTAAAGTGGCAAAATTAGTAACCATGAGGTTTCTAATTATGTCTAAGGTCGACTTATTAATACTTATAAAGCATATAATTCAAACACTCATATATTTAGTCTTAGCGTTAAGGGAAAGTACATCGAAATTTCTGCAATTACACGAGTGTCTCCCATAATTAAACCAAGTGTTGAGCAATGAGAAAAGCATAGATATTTAAAACTACTACCTGGTTTAAAACTAAAACTCATTTTCAAATATATTTTCTCTGTTTAATAATTAAGGCAACCTGAAAACTTAGTTGGTTCTACTTTCAAAATTATTTTTAATAATTTTTTAATCGCTCCACTTTTAGTTTTATCAAAACTAAAGAGAAATAAATATGTTGTTGATTATTGACTTGAACGAGAACCGTGCTTTATTATATATTAGACTAAAAATGTGGGCGGTTGACTTCAAGCGTGGTCGTGAAGATTATGAAGACTGTTTTGGATGGACTAAACCTGCTAGCACTGTTGAAAATATTAAAAACGTGTAACAAATGGTAAAGCATAATAAGTGAATAAAAGTCAAGGAACTTACTGAGACAGTAATTGTTTCAATTAACCACATATTTAATATATTAAAAATTCTTCTCTCTGCGTTGCAAAGAGAACACTTTTAAAATAGTCCTAGCATTTAAAACTTTGAGCATTTGTTCTGGAAGGACCACCAATTAGTATATTAATAAAGTTTGTATTAACTCGATTTATTAATTTTTAATAGCACCATATCATTTAATTATGGGTATCAGATACCTACTGGTACCTATAAAAATCCATTTCTTAAATGTTTAGCATTCAATACATATAGAGAATACTTCAATCATTATTTTCAAAATTACTTCTTAATTACGACTACAAGTTTTTGAATTTATGAAACTCCTCAATTTTATCCATGAAGTTAACATATAAATTTTTTGCAAATGAATATAAAAGAATAAGTAAAATATATATTTCAAATTTCAAAGATTTTAATATAAATAATTTAAAATACATATGTATGCAATGCAATGTCATATGTGGCTTTTCACTATTTATATGTTATTACTTCATTATTCTTTATTACTTCATTATTACTACAATACTACGTTTCTTATTTGTACAGGGTGTGATGAATAATTAAGGACAAATTTGATATTACTGACTGAATTACTGTGGGGTCTTTTTTTGTGTACTGGTTGCACTGCCACTGTTAATTTTCAAGTATTTACTTGGTACTTGGTGTGACGCGATCTAATGAGATAAGCATATATAATAAGAAAATTAAAATAATGCCCTAAACTGCTTATTTCGGGCCTAGATTTTTACCTTTAAACATTTATGGTACGTAGTTTGTATGGACCTAGCTAATGGATATAACATACATACTTTAAATGGCGCGCCAAACATCATATTTTTGATGTAGACTTTTTTGTATATTGCTTAGCAACTATGATGCTAATGAGCTAGAAAAATTTGTATGTGTTTGCTCATTTGTTGTATGGTGTGGTATCGGATTAGAGAGTTGTGTAATTTTATTGGATTAAAAATGAAGTGATGCGAAGCGTTTAAAAAGTGAAATAAGACCTTTACAAGCAATTCTACTATGATTAAGATGATGTGTTATCTGAGTATCAATGCCTCTATTAGCAATTAAAAAAGATTAAACTGTTTGTGCTTACTAACAGAAAAATTTTTAATTTCTATAAAGGTTGCTGAAGAAAAGGGAGCATCATACAAAACATGTATGTCACTCATGTATGACACAGGAGTTATTTTTTAAGTATTTTGTAGAAGAAACAAATGGCAGGAAAATTTGTTGTTTATCACTGCTATAATGTTATAATTCTTTAAATATGGCCTTTTTAGTCTTTTTCAAATTCTTAAAACTGCTTAAAGGACTATATTCTTTATTTATATATAAGATAAGGACGTAATCGCAGAGCAAATTCATAACCATATGTTATCAAAAAAGGACTTTCAGTTGAAACTTAAGGCAGCGGTCTACAGTCTGTACAATATTAAAAAGGGACTATTTTGAAGTGGTTGAAATAAACATTAAAGATTAAAAAAACACTTTCTGAGAAAATTAAAAATTTCTATTCTTTTTATTCACTTCTCACGTATTTTCGACTAAAAAATAAAGATCATTACTTCTTACATTTTTTATTATATGTTTTGTTAGTCTTTAATAAAAAATTAATTCAATAAAATCGTTCGCATTTCGATACCTGGTTATCGGTTATCGGCTATCAAGCTTTGCGATCAGACTTTACTGCTGCTGAAGCAGTAATAAATCAGCAGGTAACTCTGGCCACTGATACACTTTAAAGTATCGCTTAACTTTCTTTGGCATTCATAATTTACAATTTTATTGTTTTGGCACGGTAATTGAATTAAGTACCGAAAAAATCGAAACATAAATTAAATAAACTCAAAACATAGCTACTCAAGTTGGAATATATAAAAATTAAAAAACCAAAAAAAAAAAAATCTGAAAAGAAAGTGAAACATGCTGCAGTAGTTAAACAAATTAAAAGAAGAAAGTGACACTTTACATATTATTTTTTCACTTTTGTTACAACAAAACCAAATTTCATGTGTTGCAACGACAAATTCAACGAACGAATTTACAACATTGCAACAACAATTCATCGTAGTTTCGTCGTAGTTTTTTCGTAGCATACCGGCGTATGCTGCGACCGCAATTTGTAACTGAAAACACTGGCAAGAGGGCATAAGTGGGCTTTCGAACGCACGCACACTGCAAACAATCAAAGAAATTTACATTATCGTATGCGCACGCACACACATTCACACTCACACCTACACGCATAGGCACAATACACAATACAAAAAAAATGCAAAGAAACAATGTCATTGCACCAAATTGAGTTCACGCAAGTTTGTTGAACTTTTGCAAGTTTTAGTTGAGGTACGCTTTGCTCGTTCATTTGTACGAATATGCGAGCACTCATGAATTACGGGTGTATTTTCACCATTTTGGGTGAATTAACAAAAGCGAAAAACAAAACAAACTATTTTAGCGTTACAATAACTAACCTAAACGAAAAAAAAAAGAAAAAAAAACAGTGGTGAAAAAGTGAGAGTTTGTGCTATTCACGATGCATAATGATGTTAATAATGTTAATGCTGATAAAAAGTTGTGACGAAGATTTTGAAAATTTAAATTTCGATATGTTCACAATGTTCAGGTTATACATTTTGGGGTCACAGTAAGGTTTTTAAGTTTTAAGTGAAAATTTTTAATGTTTTCCTTTTTGTGTAGCTTGTTTGATTTGTGTGGGAGATTCAATCATTATAAAGTTTACTGAAAGTTTAAGCTTTTATGACATATTAATAAAAATAAATGAATACATTAAGAAACAAACTGTCTATAATTTATTGCCGCTTTTAAAAATTTAACGAATACAATATCAATAATTAGATCTATTTAAACCAAATCTTTTTCACTGTTTCCCGATAATATCACATCGACTCATAAGTACTTAGTATAACTAATAAAACAATAACAACGAATTCTCCTTTAGGAATCGCACAATCATTCCAACACTTCCCTAACATTTCGAAACCTCTTTTAGAGAATGACTTATCTTTGACCCCTCAGCTTCGACGATGACGTTTTTATCAGAGTCATCGGAAATTTGTTTCCTAGAACACTTTCTTAAGATTTTTCAAGAAATAATAATTGCTATGTAAAATGACGTTGAGCTACACCACCAGCTCCGTTAGAATTGGGAAGAACCTCTCCGAACCGTTTGATACCAAACGATGTTTCAGACAGGGTGACTTCTTGTCGTGTGACTATTTTAACCTAGCAATTCAAAGTGTAATTTATGTAATTTTGTGACGGTAGCATATGGTAACGCCTACTGTCTATTGAGTTTTTGGCCGGTTAAAAGAGGTTCACAGGCTGTTTTAAATTTAGCTGACTGCCGACTCAACTTCAGAGTAATGTAATTGAACCAAGTTTCGTCTATTATTATATACTGACGCAAAAGGTTATTTTTATCTCGCTTCAACAGCTCCGAACATATATCAGAAGGATCGGCTTGTTGATATTTGTGGTCAAGTGTCGACAAATCTCAATAAAATATTTATTTCAATATTCGGTTATAGGCACAGTACTACTCATCAAACATTCTTGCCTTTTTCTTGTTGTTACCCAGACAGCTTACTTAAAATATCTAGTAAGTTGTTCGGAAAGTACTTTCTTTTTTTTTGCGAAATTAAAAGACAGTTTTCGTATAATAAACACAGTTATCGAGCTTCGAGGATAATCCCAAGCCTTTTAAGTGGTCATAAACTGTTGAATGTGATAAATTTAACTTGAATCCGATCTCACGTGTTGTTATTCGCCAGTTCGCATCAACTAATGCCTTTATCGCGTCTTTATCAGTTTCAACCGGCCTTCCCGACCGTG